TAAACACCAACTCTTACCAACTGAATCAAATTTAAGAACAAAACTAAACCTGACAATATAAAAACCATTCGTAAAAAACTTAAATTGCCGTTATTTCGGTGGCGTTATAGTCAAATCACAAACAGTTTTTATTCAAATTATAATGCATATTAATACTTTGTAATAATTTCACTACCCAGCCTACTTAAATCAATTTTGAACAACATTATTTCGATTCCAGTTCTTAGAGTTTATGTTTTATAGTGTTTAGGATTAAAGTTATTAAAAGACCCTGAACACACTGTAATAACATCTTGGCACTCAAGCAAGGAATTTTAAGTGTATAAAGTTAACGTAGGTCGAGTTCGGAAAATTAGAGGGTTTGGTTTATGATGACATTTTACGGTAGTCACTCATAGCTGCAGGGCAAGTTACGGCTTGTCCTCGGATCAAATTATCCTCCGGTTTTAGCTTGCCTCCATATAATATGTATACTTGACGAATAATTCGATTTCCAAACATGAAAACTCCTTATCCAATTAAATCCACCTCAATATTAAATATACCCTCGTCAATTTCATCCGAGCTTCTTTGGGGGTTAATAATGAATTTTCAAGTTTAAACGTTCGTCGTCCAAAATGTTGAAACATAGCAATATGAGTGTTAAATGTAGACCTACACCTACGGCTTTTAGAGAGACCAGTACCTACCACCTACCACCTACGGACCTACCAGTACCTATACAGTGTGACAATCAAGTAATATAGCGACTTAATAGCTTTAAAACGAAAAGAGATATCACAACCAAATTCGAAATATAATTTCTGGTAATAGTAAGCTACTTTCAAATTTAAAATTCAAATTGAAATTCTTTATTTACTCATAACATCTTTTTTGTAGTACAATTATATAGATAGGAGTTTTGTCAATAGTTATGATGATAAAACTAATTACAATTATGAAAACTTAAAAAAATGTAATAGTAATACTGTACAAAAAAAATCTGTCAATTTCTAAAACTAACCTTAAACTACATGATGAAATACCAGTCTGTATCAGGACAGGATATAGGCTATTGTGCTGTATATAATTTGACTACAGACTTAAATTGATTATTAAAGACTTAAACAGTGGCACAACCTATCCTTCAAAATTATCCAGAGTATGATTTTTACAATTACAATTTATGTAAGGATTTGATGGTATTTTTTTATGACCTTTTGCTTATACTTTTTGATAGCTTGTTAAAATATTTGATTGCCATGTAATTTGGACTATTTTCATACAGAGAAAGTCTATGGTGTGGATATTGAAATAAGTGTGAGTGGCGTGTGAAATAGTTATGGTTGAATTTAAACGTATCAAAACTGTCCTGATTATTGTAGAGTAACTTGAAAATTTCTAGTTGTTGGATATTTGAATTTTGAACTATTACGTTGCTGTCATCAGCATAAAAGAAAATATCACCAGAGGTGAGAATCAATGTCATTGATAAATATCAGGAATAATAAAGGGCCCAGTATTGAACCCTGAGGAACTCCATGGACGCCCTTTTCCCAGCTTGATACAAATTTTCTTTTACTTTAAAATGACTGTCCGTTGTTTTCTATTATTTAAGTAGTTTGAAAGTAGTTTTATGAATTTATCGCCAATACATACTTTCTTTAGTTTATTTGCTAAAAATCTTGTAATTAACATAGTCAAACGCACTAGATAGGTCACAGAATAGGTATGCCCGCAGAACTCTGTTTTCCCTCTAATGCTTATGTGACCATGTTAAACAACCCAGTCAATGCAGATTGTGGTAGATTGATTTGTCCTAAAACCAAATTGTGATTCTGAAAAAAAAACTATTAATTTCCAATAAATTTGTAAGTCGTGAATTTATTGTTTTTTTCAAATATTTTGGAAAAATTACTTAAAATAAAAATAGGTCTATAATTTGTTGTATCTGTTTTCATCCCTTTCTTGAATATTGATTTTACCTCAGATAAGTTAAGCTTATCTGGGAACTGACCTGTACTTAATCACTGATTGACTATTATACTAAGAACTGGGGATATTAATGGTTCTGAAATTTTTATAAGTTTTGTTGGGACCGCATCCCAGCTAACAGCGCTCGAATTGCTTAAACTACGTATTATTTCACAAACTTTTGGGGTCTGTGTTGGATGAAGGTCCAGTAAAAGGGCTTAGGTTTAATTCACAATCAGTCACAGGAGGTTTTGATATACCTAAATTATCAACTGTCTCAATAAAATGGCCGTCAAAATGAGATGCTATAATATACGGATCATCTATCAAGTTACCATTAACCTCCAACTGTATTTACTCTGTGTTTTTATAATTTTTTAACCAATTTCTTCTTTACTACAGACCAGTATCAATTACTGGATACTGGTTACTGGTTTAAAGTTATCATTTGCTACTTTCTTACTCAGTTTTATAAGAACATTAAGGTTTTTTCTAAAGTTTTTATATTCTAACTTAGCATTTCCACAATCAGATTCCTTTGCTTTTCCATACAGGTGTTTTTATTTTCAGCTAACATTTTAATTTCATCATTCATCCAAAAAGGTTTAGTGGGTTTCCTAAATTTTGACAATTTTAATGGAAAACATTCATTCATAGTCATTACAAATACATTTAAAAACCAATCAAAACTGCTACAAGATGATTTTAAAGTATCAAAGCTCTAAAGTTTATGGTTAAGTAAAATTAAGAAAAGCTCTGAGTTTTCTTGTGAAAAGTGTCTTTTTAAAATGCTAGAAGGACTTAGATCTTTATAACTTCTAGGAAGTAATGCAACTTTTTTATGTGCATGGTGATAGTATGTCACCTTATTGGGGACGGCCCATTTGGAGTAAGTTGAAGAGGTTCTATACGAACAGGCAGGTAAGGCATTTAGACTCATGGTTGCTGGAGGTTCCCAGTTGAAAATATTATCGGTAAGCATAGGTTGATATGTACATAAAATTAAAGGTCTTGTTTAACTAAAAACAATGCCTTAAACCGGATCTCAAATAGACAACCGAGTCAAAAAATGCAGCCGTTCAAATATTTCTTTATCTGATATTTTCAATCTTTAAACGGCTGCCATTTTTTACTCAGTTGTTCTTTTGAGCTCAAATTCGTGGCATTGTATTCTCCTAATAAAGACTTTTGTGTCGTAAGCATATTGAACTATGCTTACGTTCATGATTTTCTTCCGTCTTCTAGCCGGCACCCCCTAAAGAGGTAGCGTATACTAGCATTCCAAATTCGACGAATCTTTGAACAGCTGTCATTTTTGATTCAATTATCCTATGATGTCCTGTTTTCGGCATTGTTTTTTTTTTGTTCAACAAGACCTTTAATTTGATGCACATATCGACCTGTGCTTACCATTAACATTTTCAACTTTCTCCAAATGGCCATCCACACAGAAAGATTCACCAAACATTCAGAATTACTTGTAACTAAAACTTGAACATCCAAAGTTTTACCATTCTCAAGCAAAAGCAGACACTTATATACCAGCAGTATTACAGTTTGATATGGTTTTAGTTCTAGAACTAAAAAAATATTCGCCTGTATTGACGTCATCAGCTGTTACATTGTTTTACGTCGATAGGGCTATAAATGCAGTTAAGCTATCAACTTGTGTTTAACGGTAGTAACCACCGATTGAGCACTTTGTGTATCGATTGTATCACTACAATGTAAATTTTGAAGGTTACTTACAGTTTAGAATTGAGTTTTGTGAAGTGAAGAAGCTTAGTTGGATAAAAGTTTGATTCAGCGCAGATTGATGTTAACCATAGCTCATCACGGGGCCCGATAGCGTTTTGATCCTTAACTTTCCTAGTCGTTAAAACTTGGAGCTCGTAAGGAAGCGTGTGGAGCTTATACGGGGTTTTAGTGTGCATGAGCACATCATCCAAAACTGCAGACAAATTTGAACCCTTATCTTGAGTTAACACAGAGTTCAATGTTCAACAAAAGGTGTTTTGTCAATCTATTGTTAATCGTAGCTGTAAAGTTTCAGAGCTACATTTCCGAAATCGTCAAAGCAACATCAAATATCGTTAAAAATTAATATTTGAATAACTGAACGTTAATCACAGTTAAGGCCTTCCGTATCCGGATCGGGGTCCGAACTTCATTTCTTTTGTTTGTCCGGGCGTGTAAAATGGCAATAAATATAACTCTAGTCAATGTTAATACCTCATGTTGTTAGCGTACGGATGACTGGTGTAATAATAAAGAATAGTTTCTATATCTTATACTGTCAAAGTGTAGGCTACTGCAGTTTCATTTCCAAGGGGAACTTCTTAACCCTATGAAGGACATGAAATTTCATTCCAGAGGAAGTCGTTAAAGTTAAAAATCTATCGAAGTCAGATTTACACAAATCACAGATGAACGCATGAACAAATTTAATAAACATTACAAAAACCCGGATCAACTTTTAGACCTGCCCTCTGTGCGTATCGTGTTTTCCAGTACCGGGTTTTTGTAATGTTTTAAAATTTGTTCGTGCGTTCGTCTGTGATTTGTGTAAATGTGACTTCGATGGATTTTAACTTTGACGACTTCCTCTGGAATGAAATTTTATGTCCTTCATAGCCTGAAGAAGTTCCCCTTGGGAATGAAACTACAGTGCCTATAGACTACTAGGGATCACTTTTACAGTATTAAGGTATTTAAACCATTATTTATTAATATTAATACATTAACTATAATATATAATTATTGCCATTCAAGATAATGGTTAAATGACCTGTATCACTATATATTTAACTAGTAGCTTCGGTCATCATTCTGCCTATTTATGGACTCATTATGCCATGTATCATTTAATACTCCACTTCATACATTTATCAGAACTTACTTACCTCATAACTTAAGGTTGTAGTCCTACCGTATAAGAAGTCGGTGTACTGATTCACCCTCAAACTTCTGTCTGAGATTTATCAGGGATTGGTGAGGAGCAACAAGTCGTGTATAGAGGGGGGGGGGAGGTTGTGGGGGTGTGACAGGAGGACTGCAACCCCCTTGTATATAACATAGCAGACGCCTTCTTTCACTCAGTCGCGTTCCTCTTCTGCCCGTAATCCACCAGCGTTCTCAGGTAGGCTTCATCCCCCAAATTAGTTGTTTTGACGAGTAAAATATGATAATAAATTAGAACATAATATTAATTTACATAAGGTTGATACAGGTAAAACGCAAGTGTGATGGTCAACAAATTTACTTCACCCTCGTTCTGTTGCAATACGCAATTTATATTATCGACGATAATGAAATATTGTAGTGTATAAATTCGTTGAATAGTTGTTATGGTTTTGTAACAACAAGAAATAAATTAATTACATTCCAATATGGAACTACTTTTTTCTAAACATCTCGGAAACAACACAAAACATGATAATCTAAATGATAGACATATGCCAACTATTGCTTTCATTTATAGCACAAACAAAAATTGGCGGTTTATTGAAACCGAGAAGACAAATTATTATTAAGTATCGTAAAATAATTTGATCAGCTATGAATTGTCAAAAAATCAAAGGATGGCGTTAAACAAAACTAAATATGTATAATAAATGCTAACAATTTCAATCTATATTGTATAGTTAATAAATGGTATCAGCATTCTGACACATACTTTCTCCCATAAGTTTGTCAACAACCTTTATCATGTGTAAGCGGTTGAGTAAATATACGGAAATGGGATTTGTACAATTTTTTTCAGAATTTAAAGGACTATAACAAACTAAATGTTTATCAAAATCGTTCGGGCCGTTTTGGAAAAATCCGATTTTTCCGTTATTTTATGGGGTTTTTATGGGAAAATAACATAATTTACAATAACTTTTAAACCGTAATTTTTACAGAAATGGGATTTGTACCATTTTGTTCAGAATATAAAGGACTATAACATACTAAATTTTTATCAAAATCGGTTTGGCCATTTTTGGGAAAATCCTTTTTCTTAAGATAGAAATAATAACAGCTTTGACATCATATTTGCATACTTCAATGCACGCACTGTCAAGTAAAACATCACCAGCAGGTTGTTTTGTAGGGGATAACTCAATCCTTGGGGTTACTTAAATTTCCCGCACATCTTTAAAAGTGGGACATAGTTCTTGACTGACAAAATTAAAATCAATGTACTATCCTTCTTCACCTGGATTTATAGTCCTGGTTATCAATACTGAAAGTAGATTTACTTTCGCACATAAACATAGACAAACCAGAAATTTGCCATTCTTCGCTATTTCAATAGGGATTATTTTATCCCATAACACCCATTGATAAAAGATAACAATATTATTAGTCTTTTATTATTTTTACTTATTGAAAACATTAAAACTGTCCACTTGATTATATATTATGCCGAACCCGATTAAATGAGAATGAGAAATAGAACACTCCAAATGTTCTACATCCCATTCATTTAACACAACCCTTAAACAATAATTAATTTACCTATTTTGCCTGAAGGTAATAATAATTTATGAAATGCGCATCGAGTACTAGTTCAACCTACAATCTACAATACCTCAGGCAAAATAGGTAAATAAATTATTGTATAATACAGGTCTTGTCACTGGGTTCAAACAACATTGAACCCAGAATTACAGTTAAAGGTGGTACGCTATCGTAATTATATAACAATAGTTTATCAAATTAAAAATCAATGACAAATGAACACTACATATTCGTAAAAAAAATTTAAATAACAATTGGTAGAAGGAAAATGCCGAAAGATAATCCATCGAAGTTGACAAAATTAAACATTGCGTAATCATTAAGTATAATTAATCACAACCAAACTGAATTTAAACATTTGAACATTTTGTTTCCATCAAAGGGGTTTATTTTATCCAATTAGTTCATTCTACACTATTGATGGATTTGTCAATGAATAAAAAATTCGGGATATTAATTTATATTTGTGTATTTCTTTAATGAGGCAACAATTCTGAATTCAATGATGTAACTAAAATAGCTTATCTAATCCATGTTTGAGCCTGTAATAACTAAAAATAGGGGTTATCTTTGTTTATAGCTCAATCCGTTGTAGTTTGGAATACGGCCGTTCTGGTATTACAACGACATACAACGCACATGGAGGATTCAGGTAAAACAGCGTCACCATAGTCGAAACATATTACACCGACTATATTTTTACATTTAACAAAAATACAAAATTAAATCGAACAGGCCTGTTGCACACACGGTACTGGTTGATATTGCCGTCATCTAGATGCCGATTAAAATCAAACATTTATGTATTCAGTTTAATAATTTAAATCAAGCGTTGACCGACTTACGTTATATGGAAATTATGAAAATAAAAATGATTCGTGTATTTCCTACGTCTGTGTCAGTCGATCATCAGGGATAAAGTAATGCCTCAAACTCTCAAAGGCAAACTGACTATATTGTCTACTAGCTATAATGAGATATTAAGCTATGATAGCTTGGCTCAATACAGCAAACTAGCCCGCAGGAAGAGCTTCTCAAAGGACAATCACTGACCGTATAATTTATAGGTAACAAAGCTACATGACAGATAGTGTGTCATTTCCTATTTCGACCTCCAATAATCAAACGCACCTACCTACACTACAAGCGCTTAAGCTAAGTTAATAGTTTCCCTGAATGTCCTATTTCACCTATTCGTGATGTAGGGTTATCAGGTAAAACTTTTGACACCATGCAAACATTGCCTTGAGTCTCTTGAGCGCAATCGGATCTATCTTTGAATTCTTCTGTATTGTTTTTGAGTCTTTGAGGCAAAGTTTCCTCAAAAGGAAACTAAAATAACAACAAAGGTGTGGTGTAGAACCAATGAGTAGCCGATAATGTCTTCGCTAAGGTCTTAACGAGTTTTACCAAAATTATTATTATTTATGATTTTTACTTTGAAGAAGTAACGCACACCTAGTGGCGTATTTTAAACGAAATATGCATGCAATATTTTCTAAGTGCGTTATATTTCGATGGAACAGCTGATCAGCTGTTAATTTTATTCAGGAATAAAGGCCTGATCTATACAGGTCCAGTTTCGAACCATAAAAAGCTAAGAGGTTTTCTCAGAATTGAACCAACGACTGGTTGTCAGCCAAAACTACCGGGTAACGGGGCCCACGAAGCCGCTGTAAGTTTTAGGGTTCTTGGGGAATGTGAAACTTTATAGAATTGTGCGAGCTACTATAAACTGGCATAGTATATTCGGCGAAATTCAGTTATAGAACGGTGGTACAGAATTTGTGCCAGGACCAAGTGGGGAACCAACACAATTATTTAAATACGATTGTAATCTTAAGAATTAGATCTTTGAGGTCCATTAGAAGTTAAGAACAAAAGAAAGGCTTATTTTAGCCAACAACATGGGCCAGAACAACATGGGGAACAGAATACAGGTCGATTCTAAAAGAAGTAAGCGACTTAATACGCATGTAAATAAATAGTTACATAATTTATATTGGTGTAGTAGGTATGTGAAGTAAACTACTTCAAGTTCGATTTGAAACAGCTGATTACCCCTCAAAAATTCGATCAATATGTTAAGTGTCAACGATAACGCTTAGGACCTAAATGGTCTCTTAAATACAAAGAAATAAATGTGTGTGCTTGATTTTGGAAACACTTAATCAGTTACTGTTGTTCAGCATCAATGTACCACACGCTAATAAAGTCCCTCCAAATAGGATTCTATTTTCAATTAGCGAAGGGAGCTCAGAACTACAGGTTGTGAGGACAAAGGCCACAGCACTTATACTCAGGTTGAATAAGCAAGTGTTCCTCTAATACAAAGTCGTGAAAGGAGATTAAAATTTCAAAACAGAGACTTATGCTGAGAACGTTTCCATGTAAGCAATTGGCACGGTAAGGTAAGGGAAGACCATAGTGAAAATCTTCAAACCTGCTGAATTCTAGCTTGCGATGTCTTCCACGTAGCCCAGATTTCATTTGGTTTATATATTGTAGGATTACGTGAAAGAGTGTTTTAAATGCCTCTCCGATTAGGAGAGATATTGCAGCCTATATTTGCAGCTAAGATAAATGATTTTAGCTACAGTTTTTAGCGGGTACTTATCAACCTACGTACTTTGGAGACTTTGGTCATAGCTCAAATATAGGATCGACTTGTTGTATGTGAACCGAGGTGCACATACTGAACTTTTTCATACATGAAAACTTTTTATACGTATTTTCTGAAAACCTAATTTTCATTTTCCTTGTAATTAAGTACTTTACCAACACAGTTGTTTATCCATCGTGTAATCAGTGTGTTATTTTATATACACTCGACTATTATGTGAGTACACACACAGCTTGAGATTTTATAGCTAGGGCCCAAAAGTTAAGGTTTCAACTATTTTATAAGGTGCTTCTTTAGTACGAGCAATGTTTACGTATTTGATTTTTAAAATTTAAATTATTCAGTTAATTACCATACCGAAAAGTGATTTTCTTCAGAATTGTTTCATACAGTTAGTATGTACACGTATTTGTTAAAAAAATTATTGTAGTGTGGGTTTAAAGTATAAGTTTGGACATTTAATACTAGTTGTAAATTTTACGTAAAATATTGTAAATTACACACAAATATGTTGAAACGGTTGATTTTGTTTGACTGTAAACTATTTTAGGGATTGGTACGGTCACCATTTTGAATTGCTGAATGTGTAGTTTTACCATATCATCACAATTAAATTAAATATTTGACCCATCAACTAAGAACCACGACCAGGATTTGGTTCTGTGACAACTCATAACAATATATACAATGATTTGGATAATGTTATCAAGTAAACAAAAATAACTTTTTGGGGGTTTCGAAGGTGCTTGAATAATTTATTATCTATTTATTTTATAAATCGTACCATTTCTTAGATGTGTTCCTATCCAAATTCTCGATTAGATTCACCATCTTTTCATAGGCCTAAACCAAAACTTGTACATTATTAGAATTGGAACAAGCTTTGGCATTTCGTTAATACAGAGACAAAATACACTTACTGGCAACGAACTCCGATAATAATAGCTTGAGAAGTTTATTTTTTATGTACAGAAATATAAAGACTAGATATTTTGTTGAGGGTTTCCAAT